TTTCATTAAGTGTTTTCAAAGAAGTTCTGGATCAAGGCACAATCTAATTATTAGAATTCCAGATCTTACAGTTATAAGACAATACAGAAGTAGGTCAATGAAGAGAAATAATTCAAAATGACAAGTTAGAAAATTTGTTTGGAACAGCAGAATAAAATTCTACAGAAACATGGGCAAAACACTGTGCTTAAGTAGGAATAATCTCTTGACAGAACTGGATGGGAACTGGTTTTTGTACAACAGGCCTATGCATCATATTACACAAGCTGAGCATGGCACAATAGTATTTGCTTTTGCAAAAAAGGCAAACATGACACCTTTTTCTTGGTCATTAACGAAAATTCTTTTTGTTTTTTAAAAATACTTCTTCCCTCTTGCTTGTTTTCTAACTCAGCTGACAGCTGAACTGGTACCTCAGCTGATGCTACCTTCTAGATTGCATGATTCTTAAACACTAGTAATTTGTCACTGTGGACACCAGTGAAATGAGTCTGTGCTATTCCAGTGTCAGCTGATAGACGTTTCAGAAGGGAAATTATTCCTTGACCCCTCTTCCACTGCAAAACATAACACACAAAGCAACCTTCTTTAGAATTACAAAGAAAAAAAAAGTGATATTTAATTCATATTTCCAGACTACAGTTCTCTTTAGTCTTCTGTGACCTGATTCTCTTGCTATTGTTTAAAAACTCTAATAAGAATGTGAAATTATCAAGGGTTTTTATCCATAATAAACTAGCCTATTTCCAGAGCACATCTTTAAAAAAAAACCCTTTCTTTACTGCAGGCTAAAAAATGGAATGAACTGTATGTTATTCAGTTATTCTCCCCAAGCCAAATATATTTTCTGTCACCTTCAGTGTTTTGACTTTTTTAATGAAAAAAGAAAATGAGAGAATAATATGCTAAACAGATCAAAGCTCAGAACCCTAATACATTTAACAGGCTCCATTCTTGGAACTGTATTCATTATTGATGTCAGAGTAACAAATCTATTTAAGCCAGAGGAGGTGGCCTATGGGAATTAAAAGAAAATTCAGCCCATAAGCCGTGTCTCATGGAAGAGCAATAATGATAAATATAGGGAACAACTTACAGTGGCACATTAATAGATTTTTTTTAAATTATTATTTCTATTTTAATCAAATAATCCTTTAAGCATTATAAAGTTGTTGTGGGCAATGCAAAAGCTTCATATGATTTAATATTTTGGATAATCAGAAAATAAATGTAATGTTCACTGTGTGAAAGGTATCTTATAAAAAAAGATTCTGGAGGAAGCTGGGGGAAACATAACTACTAGGTATTTCATGTCAGATAACAAAAAAGTTTCAGTGATGGACATTTTTTTATATTAAAAAAAAAATCCCTGAGTTGATGTGGTTTTGATGTTTGCATTTCTGATTTTCTTTTCAGCCAACTTCTACTTACGTCATCATTTTGTCCATCTTAAATTGGGCAAGAAAGTCTGGATTATGCTTCATTTCCTGAAGTCCCATGAGATTTGAGAAATATTTGTAGGAAAATCATTCTAGATGCATGATTTATTTAATGTTATATTAATATGTTATATGTATTCAATTTAATATGCTGGTTTTACTTTCCATACCTAGTTACTGAAGATTAAGGTCAGTTCATTCCCAGAGCAGAGTTTATTTCTTCTGTGTGTGTGTGCTATCTCTACCATCATGAGCCCTTTCTATACTGTTGATGCTAATGCATCTTGAGACTGTTTTGCTGGCTCCTTAGGAAAATGTGACAGTGTTGGAAGGAACAGCTGAACCAATGTTCGGCCTCTTACATAAGAAAGGATACTCAGAGATGTTGATTTAATTTTGTAAATGGTATATAAGCTTAAGGAGACAGGTGAAATAACTTTTAAATATATTTTTGAGTCGTTATATTTATATTAAATTAAGGACAGAGTAAGTTTGTCCAGGAAACTAATGGCCTACATGTTTCAAGAAAAGAACAAAATGAAAGGTTATTTACTTGACTTTCCATAGTGAAATTTCCTCTGAGCTGATTCAGAAAAAGATAGAGGAGAAGTCAATTCTTTTTTTCTGAGACATAGTAAGAAGATGAGAGGGAAAAATATCTAGGATCAAGTCTCTGAACTTACTCAGAGTGATTTTTTCCACTGATCTGGAATAACAGAAGTCTCAAACCTGAGTGATTAATTATTTAACAAGTAAACAGTTCTTGTTCAGCTTCCCTGACTTACAAACTGTTCATTTGTTTTCTTTCTCTTTTTTAACATCGCTAACTACCAGAAGTTCATCTACAGTTGGGGAAAAGAGATTATGAAACAGTAGATCTCTGTACATTAAATTCTATTTTAACCTGTAATAATTTATATAGCAAAAAACTGTTTAATAATATATGAATAATTGATTATATGGATGTCTATATGCCTATTATCTTCACCTTGGTTTCAAGTTTTTTGTGTGAAACACCCACAGTCTAGCACATAAGATGGTCTCTAGAGAAAGTAGGTTTCTGTCAGCAGATTATCCAATTTTCTTTGAACACAGAAATGTTTTTACAAGCAGCAGTTTGTGGTAGTAAGTGCTCTGTCATTGTCAATTACATTTGACCAATAATGTGTTTTTTACATTGATTAAAAAAAATGAAAAGCAAAATTATAGCTAATAGCGATGAAACACTTGGTAAGAATAACTTAATGGACAAATTAATGTGCTATTAATTTATCATCCTTTATATGATATATATGATATAAATGATATACCGGGTGATAAGGTCTTCAAATCTGTATGTTTATGTTTCTATTTTAAAGCCTCAAATCCAAAACAAAACTGACTATGTATTTTAATTTATTTTTTTCCCAAGGATGATGACTTAATAACATGGAAATTGCATTTTCTCTCTATGAAGTCCCGAAAGAAATGTAGTTCATCTTGTCCTATTGTAGTTAGCATATGGTGGTGCTTCTTGCCCAAAGGTGATATCAGAAGTTGTTCTTTCATTAGAGAATCTGAGGAAACAAAGTACTGTCAGTGCTGGCAATGCAATCTACAGTGGAGCAGTTCTTACCTTTATTTGTAATGAGAATGGATTTTTTTTATTCTTTCAAAGCTTTAATGCATGTATATAAAGTTCTTCTGCATCAGTGTTTGTAAGATCAGGCAGGAACTAATCACCTCAGATCAGGAATAGTGACATAACTTTAACCACTTCAACTCTGTCCATGGATTTACCTTTGAGATAATGTACCAGAGCCAAAGTGGTTCTCTTTCTAGGAATTATTTTTTTCAGAATGTATGCTAATAAAAACTTTTGCCTATTGCCTCAAGACTAGAATTTACCTTTCAGGTGAAGAAATTATGAGGAAATCATCTGTATATGGATTACATGATTTTATTTATTTTTCTTACTCAACAATGTTACCCGTGCTATACTAACATGGTAAGATAACTTAGAAGCTTTGTTATTGCCCTGATCTTCACAGTAAAGGAAATTCTCTGCATCAATAAACTCTAAATTCTGATGTCTCCCTGAAAATGTAATTCCTCTGACAAAGATTCTGGACTTTTTTTAATGTTTCTGTGAGTTCTTTACTTGATATTGAATAGTTTCCTGTGATGATCCACACCACTGACAAATGAAATGTAATATTTAGTTATAAATGAGCAAAAAAGACATTAGCTGTAGACAGAACGTAATTTTGATGGCAATCCTCAAGAAAACAACAATGGAAGTAATTACAATAGATTTATCTGAAGCAAAGTATCTGCCACACATCAGTGCGTATTAATAGTAAAAAATGAAATAATTGTAGATCTTTGGTTGGATACTGTCTCTAAAAGAGGGAGGGTTTTTGTTACAGAGTAACATGAGTTTGTACAGATAAAAATGACTTTTTTAATTTGGCGTTATGATTCTGAAAGAGGAATCCCTCGGGGTTAATAATTCGCCTGCAGTAAACGATTCAAACCTTCAATACCTTCTGCTCTGTAGCTGGACTCACTGAAAATGTGGGTTTCTACCACTCTCACCATCCTGGTGCCACTCCTGAAATTAAGGGTTTTTTTCACTCTAAATCTTCAGAAATAATTGATGGTTCAGTGTTGATCTTTCCAGATATCCCCTGAAGAAATGACATGCTCCACAGCATCATTGCAATTTTTTAGATCCCACACATTACTGATCACTTTTTATATCCTGTAAAGCCAGAGATACAAAAGTTTTGCACATATTGCTGTCTTTTGTTCTGGAGAGACAAAGCGTAAGTTATATGGATATATCCAAAGAGATTGTCAGGATTCACAATCCTCCATAATGCTTTTTTTTCTATAGCCTGGCCTTGTCTTTCACTCACAGCTGGAGTGCATTGGAGATAGAGCTCTCTTTAATAAAGTTTACATTCCTCTTGACAGGTTTCTGTGCCGTAGCTTTTGAGCACGGACAGTTATCATCTAATTCACGTTTTCGGTTACAGGAAGTCCCCTGGCCTGGGAACATTTGCTCTTGAGGCTGTAGCCTGCTACTGGAGATGAGATGCCTCCACTTGAATGGAGGATTAGGGGATTAATGACTAATTCTCTGCTGGTTGTCTCAGATTCGCTCTTAGCATCTTTCTGTGTATTGAACCCAATATTTAGATTAAATGACCAAAAAAAAATGTGATTGTAGAGGGGTTCAAGATTTCAGGCATATACTAATCCATTATTATCTAAAGTTAAAGAAGAAAATAACAAAATCCTGGCAGCAACAAGAACAGCTGTAGATAAATAGGGACATACTTCTATGCCCTAATATTAACCTGTGCTAATGAACCTCTGTAACAAAATATACTTTTGCAGCTTTTTCCTGGGCATTCACAGTGCTGATACTTGTAACAAAGTTTAAATGATAATATAAAACCTGAGGTAATTCAGGAAATAGTATCTTCATAACAACATCGGTTCAATTTACAGTTTTCATATTATCTATCAAGTATGGTTATGTGATCTTCCATTTGTGTTTGCTTTGGTTTTTAGCTCCAGACCAGTCTGTCTGAACCAATGACATTATCCAAGTCGATCTCACTTCCTCGTAGTGCATATTGGCATCATATCACCCGGCAGAACAGCGTTGGAGAAATCTACAGTTTACAAGGCAAGTTCCTTATGAGTAAATGCCATGACCATTAGCTTCTTTCCATTTGACCAGAATTCATGCAAATTGGTTTTCAGTTGAACTGTTTTTTTTCCTCTCCATTTCATTTTATCAATTGTCAGGAACCTCAGCAGGATTCCCAAATTTACATAAAACAGGTTTCTTTTGGTCGTTTTGTAAACTAATGGTGAAAGTTATTCCTAGAATCACCACATAAAGCTGGATAGACAATTTGGCTCAATGTAGCTTACAAGTAGCTAATGAATGTCAGGTTGTTTTAGTATTTTCTTCCAATAAGATGGTGTATGTGTTTTGGCAACCTCAGGGTGCCCAATTAAAACTACATAAAGTGGCCGTATGAGCTGCAAGATTAAAACAAAATAATTCTAGGAATAGGATCTATTCTTGGTGAATTTACTAGGCGAATCATATATATGAATGGCAGATTGGACTAACTTACAGCCCTTCTGTATATACGTATCATCTTTTTCTGTCTCCAGTTCTCTTTGATATGTTTAGATTCAAGCTATTCCCTTAAGACTTTAAATGCTATAATTAACATAACATGATGATGATGATGATGATAATGATTCACTGCTTTTAAGCTGAAATTGATTTGTATCTTTTAGGAAATTGAAATTATTCTTACATTTTAAATGTAGACCTTTTATTTAATAGCATTCTTTTCACTTTTAAAAAATAACCTATCATAGGCATACTCCTTTGTATTATTTGGAAAGGGCTTAAGGATTTTATTTCACTTCTCTCTTAATAATTTGTTTGCATAAGCAATTTACATTTAGATAGGAGGATAGAAACTGCTCACAAACAAGAGTACTCAATGCAAGAAAACATATTACATGCTTTCATGAAAATAAGTGGTCTAGTATATAGATGTAAGACATGAAGTGTTATGTTTTGTAAATTATCACATAAATTAAAATTAGCAAGTGACCTGTGAATTCAGTGGGTGACTCATTAAAGCTTACAGCATTTGTTTCCCGTCATTCCCCATACAACAAAGACAAAGCAAATTTCTAATCATGCTTATGGTCTTACAGTTAAATAACAGTAATGCAAAAAAAGAAAATAACCTTCCACAAGTTGCTTGTGAAAAAAATTTGTGCTTGTAGATCACCTTAAAATATTCATCATATCACTGATATTTTTTCATGAACACAATAAGAATAAAAAAAATGTTAATTTGTAGAGACATTACAGTTTCTCTTCTTATGTTTTTGTTGGATCTTTCCCTCTGGCAAAAGGATAGTAAACGTGTTATGATATACGTGAAGTGAGATAAATGTATGGGACATTGTTCATTCTCTGCAATCTTTTATTTCTTATAAATGGCCTTTGCAATAAAGGAAAGCAAAACTTGATACATTAAGTAATAGTTTAATATCTATTCCAAATGGCTTTGCAAGAGGCAACATATTGGAAGTATATTATTAAAAATGCAAGAATTTTATTTTTTGGAAGTATGCAGATTTTATTCACACTTCCGCTGAAACATGGGACTAATATTTCAGAACTTGAGTTCTATTTCTCTTACATGTACTGTGATGATTGAAACTTGAGAAAGTGTAGCTGATTTCAAGAGAGACTAGTTCAATTTTATCTGTGGGCTAAGAAATGCATCCAGAAGACAGTTTTGTCTCCATCTGGTTACAAAACTTTTACATGCAAGAATATTATTCATTATTTGTAGGGAAGACCTCTTTGAACTTTCTGCTGCCATGACTAATTAAAGGCAATGTATTTGTACCGAAGCTTAAGAAAGTGTGAAGTATATCCTTTCCTCTTAATATCTGTTCATACTGGTAGTCTTTGCACAGCAGAGATCTGCTGGTTGTCAAAGCATCAGCCCACAGATGCTTCATATATGTGGGTGGAAGGTGGGTAGCGAGGAGGTAGATTGCAAGCATCACTTCAACCTTCACCTTAGTGCAGCAGCCAGCTGAGAGGAGCTGTTGCAGAAGGAAAAATCACTTGCTGCCTCTGTGATCTCCTCTGAGCTTAAAAAGGTATATTACACCTTCAGAGAGGAGACTTCTTTAGAAAATAATCCATAAAACTCAGTTCTGCATCTCATGTGTATTTACAACAAAGCTTTTTACATTCAAGAAAAGAATGTGAAAATTCCGCAATTCCTCTGAATATCTCACACGCTCTAAAATGAAATAACTAGAGTGGTGTCTACCTATATTCAGATTACTCTCAATATCAGTAAAGTAAAAGCCGAACTCACTCTGAAGTATGGTGTAAAATGTTTCCATAATGGCAATTATTTCAAACTTGCAGTCTGAAGTGACTAGAATTTAATTAATAACGGCTGGTGATGTATAAGGAGAAATTAATAAGTTCTTGTACTACCTTAGATAAATTACCTCTTCAGGAGTTATTGAGCAGTCAAATTTAACTTAATTAGTAGTGTGAGTTGATCTGATAATGAATATACTGTAGAGTAAGAAGGTAGGAGGTTGTGTGGTTCTCTTTTTTTAAAGGCTACATTTCAGATTCGAAAAGGCAATTCAATAAATGGGTATTGGGTTTATCATCCTCCATCTGCCCATGAAAACACGTACATGTAAAGACTTGAAAAGATTAAAACATAGAATATTAGTTCTAAAGGAACACAGGTTTGACAAAATACCCTAAAATGAGGTGGGCTGGTTTCTCTCTTTATACAGCTTTTCTTCCATTTTTGTCGTCTTTGCACTCTTTCAGTTCTTGATTGCACTGCTAAGATAAAAGTAGCAATTTAGTTGTCTAATTAATCTTGTCAATACGGACAACTTGGTGGCTGGCTCTTACCAATGACAGCACATCACTACCGGGATTCATTTCAAATTTTACAGTATAATGCTACAGGTCTGACAGAGTTTCCATCCATGATCTGCAGCCTTGGTAGAGGGTGGGGTGGAAGCCTCATTAGCTGACACAGTGATGCCCTTTCAGCTCTGTGCATTGTCTCTCCTCTCCGTCTGATGTGACATCGGGCATGTGGCAAGCCCCTCCGCTGCACAAGAAAGAGAAAAGGGGAATTGCTGCCACAACAGTAAACAGCACAAAGTTTTTACAGCCATCAGGTTAAATTCCAATCTAAACTTCTGTGTTGGAATGATTTCACTTAAAATCCCAACTGATACCCATGGCTTTACAAATTACAGCGCCTGTTTCTAAACTGCGCATATTAATAATCCAGATCTTGCCTCTAATTACAATTCGGAAATTAAATAGTGCACTCTATGATTTTTATCATAGTTTAAGTAACAGAGGAAAAAGGAAAAGAAAAACCTTATACACAATTTTTAGTGCATACATAAGACTTAAATAAATTGGACATTTTCATTAATCATAGACAGCTTTGTGAAGAATTAGAGCCCAACATAAGATAAATTTTAATTGATATGTTATGCTTTCCCATACATAAGAATTTACAAAACCACAAATATTACAAGTCAAGAGCAACCTTGTGAACTGAAGTCATGGTTAAAGAGAAAAATACAAGTACAAAAGCCCTGTAAGCATGAAAAAAAGTTACCCTGTATGTATCCTCATAACTCATTGTTTTATCGTTATTACCTGGCATGTGATTTAGCACTTTTTCACAAGATACTAAAAATTGAGAAACAAAGCACATATCTTTTTAGGCAGCAAAAGACAGTAGACACCGTTAATGCATGATATATTTTAAAATTTTGCATTTGGAGGTTTAAATTTGTTTAAGATGTAAAAAGGATTGCAGATTGAATTTTCAACTACCTGAAACTTAGTGCTGTACTTCTTACTCCAGAGAATTTACAAATTTTAAACACAGTCAGTTTGTATATTATTAAACAAATAAGGCCCAATAAAATTTTGGTATGGAAACCTGCCTTAGCTTTTTGTATTGTAGTTATGGAAATCCCTGAGGAAATTATGTTCGGAAAATCTAATCATGATCTGGCCTTTCTCCAAGAAATTCAAAATTAAGAATCACTTTCAATCACTCCTGTTGCATTTGAGTCTGGTTTGTGTTCCTTATTTGGACTATGGTTTTGCCAGCCGTACTCAAAGTGATGAACACCTACCCACATGAGCAATCCTATTCATTTCTATGAGAGTACTCGTGTGAAGGAACGTGTAGGAATTACACCAGTAAGATCTTACATGTTTTCCTCTTGAAGAGAACAGTAATGTTTTTTTTTCCAGAGTGAATTGCTGATCACAATTTGCTCATCACGAGTGCTTTTTTGCTCTTATCACAAATGCTTACCACATTTTGTTGTAAACCTATAACAAAGTAATTAAATTGCACTGAAGAATACTAAGATGCCTGCAAAGAGTTACAGTCTCACGTTTTTGAACTTAGTGAGGAATTTCGAGAAACAAAACTAAAGCCCTCAGTGAGACAGGACTTAAGCTGAAAGCATCACTTAAGCTTGTAAGTACATGTCAAAATAAAAAACACAGAGCAGTAAAAACTGGCCTCTATGAAGTCTGTAGGAATTTTGCCATTGATACACTTGTCTTTTGTATTTCACACTAAAGATGCAAGAAAAATAAATCTGCTTTTGTAAATCAGAATGGAAACTCTGTCTCCCCCTTGGTCTCGTAAGCAAGCTTGCATTGCCCCTTGTCTTTTGGCCTTCCTTCTTGGGTGAGAACTCACCTTTCTCTTGTTTTTTAATAAATTTTAAGTAGAATAACACACAGTGTTAACCCATTCAGCTAAAAGGTTTTGTAAGTAAAAGGGAGACAAAGTCATACACAAATGATTTCTATCAGCTTCATAAGTTTCAGGCCTTTTCAAAGTAGAGGGTCTGATATGTCATTAAAAATAACCGGAGATATTGAAGTTGCTAAATATTTAGAAGGATTTGAATCATCCTCTTCAACCCTCCCTAGGCTAATGCTGCAGGAATTTCTGATATAGGCTTCTGCATTTTTCTGCATATTAAAGTATGTAAAATGAATTGGAGGACATTTGTCATTTTGGCATTTCCATTGTTTGT